ATATATATATATATATATATATATATATATATATATATATATATATATATATATATATATATATATATATATATATATATATATATATATATATATATATATATATATATATATATAAACACAAAAAAGTAAAGATTAAAAGGTAGTGGCCTAGTGGGGCAAAACTATCTACATACAGAATTACGGATCTCAAATACCCAAACCAGTAGTCCATCGGTCCATCCACAGATCTCAAGATCTCAGAAATTGCAAATGCTCCCGTTTCTGGTCAATATTGCTGATTAGCTTCTCCTTACAGTCGATCGCGGATAGCCTCTCACTCTCTGGACGGACCAACAGAGTTCTGACCCCGGCAAAACGAAGCCACTACAGCAACTTCTAGGGGGTAGGGATACACCCAAAATCAATAAAGATTAGAAGGTCAATCACCCAATCCCATTTTAATCGAGCTTTTTTCTTTTTTAGAGGTTAGTAATTACTCCAAATAGGTCATTAGTAGTTAATTTTATCAATTTGATAATGGTCATATGAATCATGATTTAAGAGTATTGTTTTTAAAATTTTAGTCTACTCTACGAATTTTAGAGCAATCTTAGTAAATAAATAATGTTAAATTTTTAAAGTGTTTAATTATTAATTTTAATTAGAGTAAATAAATAATTTTCAGTTCTAAAATTTCATAAACTAGATTATATGAGTTCAAGTTGATTTATGATTTTCAATAGAAAGTTAATTAAATTATAGTTATAATTTATCGGGTTTAAGTTCACTAATTTAAATTTTGTGTGTTGATTTAGTTATTTGAAGTTTTGGACTTTGAAGGTTCTATATTTAATGTAAATATATTGTTTCTTATTATTATCTCCTACCTTGTATAGGATTAGGAATCTCATGTATATTTAAACACATGTACTCCCACACATTGATTCAAGGAAAATTATCTTTCTACGTGGTATCGGAGCCTAAAATACCAAAACCCTAATTCCCTCCCCTCCTCTCTTCCTCTCTCTCGGCCCGAGCCGCCGCCCCACCTGCGGCAGCCCCTCCTGCCGCCGTCTCCTCCTCTCGCCGGCAGTCACCTCTCCTCTCTCTCACAATCATGGCCGAAGCCAGTGAAGTCATCTCTCAAAATACCTCCCCCAAACCCTCTCATCTTGCTTTCACCACAGTATCTAACGTGAAACTCCATGTCCCTGTTCAACTCAGCCTCTCTCAGCCCAACTACAAAAAGTGGAGCCGACTTTTTCTCCTTCTTGCTCGGCGATTCATTCTCCAGGGCTACCTCGATGGTTCCATCGTCCCCCTCTCCGACGACGACGATGAATGGTTCCAACTCGACGCTCTCCTCTAGGGTTGGATTCTCTCTACCATCACCAATGAGGTCTCAGATCTGGTAATCTCCTCTGTTTCTACTGCCTCTGCTCTCTGGAAAGTCGTTCACGACTTGTTCCACGACAACGAACATGCCAAGGCCATGCAGCTGGAGCATGAATTTCGCACGACCATCAAAGGCAACTCCACCATGGCGGCATATTGCCAACAATTGCAGAATCTGGCCGACTAGCTAGACGATGTCGATGCACCAGTCTCCCAGCACCAACTTGTTCTCCAGATGCTTCGTGGTCTTCCTGCAGATCTTCAGGCACAAACATCTTTCATGCATTTCCAGGATCCCATGCCCACGTTTCTACAGGTTCGTTCTGCCCTCATGCTTCTGGATTGACAACGGACGAGTCCCACCGACACGGGCACCACGGCTCTTCTCACGAACCGTGCCGGCGGTGGCTACCACGGCGGTACTCCCGGCGGCTATGGCGGCACGGGCTATGGTGACGGCAATCCCGGTCAACGTGGAGGCTACGGACGAGGTTAAGGCCGTGGCGGTGGAAATCGGGGGCGAGGTCGCGGACGTCAAAACGGCTCACGACCGCGGCAATCCTACGACGGCAACACT